GGATAGTAGATCAGGTAAGTTTGACTTTTGGTAGCATTCTATGTAGAGCCACTCTTTACTTTTTGTGTCATCTTCTGGCTTGTGCATCTAAAAAATTTGTCTTTGCATTTCAGAAATGTTGATTGAAACTGCTTTCCACTCTAAAAATTTATAATTTTGAGAAAGAGACTATGATTTGCACAGCTTGCCTCCAAACCTGCCCTGCTTCTTTGAGACACATTTGTTTATGTCAGATAGGCTTCTTTGTATAATGAACTGCACAAAACCTTTGCCAAGATTCCACATGATTCTTTCACATTAATGGCATGTTCTCGAGGGTGCTTTTTCCACTTGGAACATATCAAAGGGTTAGCTTGGCATAACCCTGCCTGAGGTATGCACCAGCAACCTCACGGTGCTTTTTCCACTTGGAACATATCAAAGGGTTAGCTTGGCATAACCCTGCTGAGGGTCACAGAGAGCTTCACAACTAAGTAGTATTATCTTAATTTAAAAGTTAAGTCTTAGCTGGACTTAGTGGCTCATTACTCTAATCTCAGCATTTGGTGGACTAAGGTAGGAAGATTGACCACAATTCAAGGCCAATCAGGGCCACATTGCATTCTAGACAACCTAGGTTACAGTGTGAAATCCTATGACAAAAATAAATAAAATTTAAAAGAAAAGGTATATTTTTGAACAAGCAATAATAAGGTTATCCCAAGGTAAAGTGTTCTGGAAAACTTAGATCCAAGTGTCTTAATTTTGGTGGTAATATAGCAATTAAAAATAAATTAGGGGCTAGAAAGACGGCTCAATGGTTAAGAGCACTTGCTGCTCTTCTAGAGGACACAAACTTGGTTCCATGTTGAGTGGCTTATATCTACCTGTAACTTCTGCTTCAAAAGATCCTAAGCGCTCTTCTGATCTCCAAGGGCACCTTCACACACATCATTCACTTACATGGACACACACACACACATACACATAAAAAAATTAAAACAAAAAATAATTTTTATTATTAAGAGTTTAGTTGTCACTATTTCTTATTTTTTTGTGTGATGTGCCCTCCTTTACTAGCATGCCCTTCTGCTCTCTAAACTAGTCCATTGGATACATTTTCTTACAGTACTAGATTCACTATAGCCAATGAGCTTCCTTTACTCCTCTTATTATGTACAAATCTGATCATTATTTCTTCTCAGACATTAGTATGTTTTATATACAAAAATCAGGCTCGATAGGTCTTTGTTGAAAGAACAAATGAAAGAATGGTTCCCTACCTCGTCTCCATGTAGAATGACAAATAAAGTGGCATTGTCTAGTCCCCAGATGGCTTCAGTCAGAGCACATGAACTTCCTTCCATAATCAGCAATGTTGAGCTTTCTTTTCTACAAAGAGAAACTGAAATATATAGCATGTACAGGAAGGAACACATTCTACTAAGTCTTCAAAAATGATAAACTCTCCTAGACTACAGGACCTGCTGCCCCATGACACAGGTAAGCTTGATAAATCCAGTGTATTCCTCCATTAAGAACTGGAACAAAAATCAGTAATGTGGGGTGTTTGGTGAAGACAAGTATTTCATAGCTGTAGTCTTCATAAACCAGGATTTTTATTTTCTCTGTGATAACACTGTTTATGAATTCTTTTTAATCTTTTTTACTCCATTGAGACTTGAACTAATTTTGAGTCACCTCAAAAATTATAACTTACTGTGCTTTGCAATTCAAGAATAAAGAGGCGATAACATCTTTCAAGGTTTATTTAGATTAAATATCATAAATAAATTTTATCTGGAAGCTAAATGGTCTAAAGTTTTTTATTGCTCTTAATTTCAATTTAATAAATTAATATACTTTTAAATCCAGACTTCATAAATTATCTTTGAAAATTTATCATAACTTTGTTTCATCCATGTACTTAGACAGTTGCCAAAAATATTTCTAGCATATGCCAATAAGCATATATTTATGTATGTATGCACACACATATATGATCTCTCTCATTGTATAAATAGGTATGCTCATTTGTTAAAGTAGAGACTAGACAGAGAATCATTGTTAGCTGTGCGTATAAGGAAAATTATACTACTTGTTTAATTTTGTTTGTTTATGGAAATTAAAGTGTGGGACATCTTGCCCACATATATTAGTGCCCACATTCATTAAAAGGACATTGAAGTGCCAAACATTGAATAATTATAAATTTCATCTTTTAATTGGATTCGTAGGCCAAGAGATACCATTTTTGCTCTTTTTGAATAGCCACATTTAAGACCTTTTTGCAAATAAGGGAATTTCATCTGTATTAAATTTGTCAATATAATCACCAAAAAAGTATCAATTTGCACACATGAATGCTCAAATTAAAAAGCTCGTACTTTGGCAAGGATCTACTGCAATTCAGCGGTGGGAAGAATAAGTGTAGTAGTAAATTTTATGCATCATATCTGTGAATATGAAAATTTCAATTAGCGTTAATAGAAGCTGTTCATCTTATACCACAAAAACAGTTTCTGCCTGGTGTTCTTCAGAATAAATTACAGGGACATTTTTCAAGGCAGTTGCCTGTAGTGAATTCCTGCTGCCAT